GATAACCTATGATTATATAATTCAACCCCGTAAAAGTGTTCAACTGGCCTTGGTCAGTCTTTCTGTTGTATTCTTTCAAAGTTACAAACCGTCAAAAAGACGAAAATCGGTACGAGCCACCTTAATACATCTTACGTGACCAGAACAAACAAGCGCGCGCGGAAAAAGAGTCTTTGCATTTGCTCACGTCAGCAGCGTACACCCATGGGCAAATGGGGGACACTAAATTGACCAATCAGAGCGCGCGCTTTACTTTGGTTATGTTATAATAACCCTCTTTCGCCAAAATATGTGGGTTGTAATTATTTGCGTGCTACCCTTATGTGACCGCAGGTGGAAGAGTTTGCTCATATTAACGGTTGGGAAGCCTACCCGGAGGAAGAAAACACAACTGATAAGTCGTCAAGTAAGACTTCATCGAGGGTCTCTACACCAGTAGGGGAAGTCGACAGCAAGAAGACTGAACCGGAAGTGGTTAAAACAGAGACGAAAGAGGCGAAGACAGAAAAGAAAGAAGACGAGGCCGAAGAAAGCAAGCCTGCAGCCATGGAGGTTGATAAAGATGAGCCAGGTATGAAAACAAACTTTGACTTAAAAGCCACTTCAAGCCACCTCTTCTTACAGATTACCAGACTTTTCTACTTCATTGAAATGCAACTTTCCTCTTCTTTTTGCGGTTTCATTTTTTTTTTTTTTGAAAGAATTTACATTGGTTATTTTTCATTTCTTGCGTGCATGTGAAATAACATAAGACAGTTACTGAAGGCAGAGCAATAGTTGCATCCGATATAAGAGGAACGATTCCTTACCTCCTTGCAATCAGAAATCCATAATTTGCACTACGTTTTCTGAAGTCACTCCAGTACCTTTTTCATTGTGAAGACTCGCTCTTAGTTTACGGCTTTATTTTAATCCCGACGGAACAGAGAAAGCTTTCAATTTGTGATTTGTGATACTTGAAGACTGTCTGCAAAATTAGGTATAGTAGTTTTCTTTGTTTAATTCGAAACTTTTAACCGTTACCTTTTAAGTTAAAACAACTGATGACGAAAAGAAAGATGGCGTGAGACAAGAAAGTGGCGATACATCCAGCCCCACCGAAGGCGGAGATAGCGACAGCAAGAATGAAGGAGATAAACAAAACAAAGTGGATGAGGGTTAGCTTGGAATTTATCCAGATTAAGAAGCGTTATGATTAGTTTTGCTTACATCTTGAAAGTTCTAGTTTTGAGATTATAACACAATTGCACCTTCCCATTCTGCTCATTTCCGTTTGGCATGCAATTTCCCTCGACATATCTTTATCGGAATGATCCTCGCCCATATGTTGCAGCCATACAAAAGAGGGTTTTTTTTTTTTCCATTTTAAACTGTAAAAGTCAGAAGTGGCGGTGAACTGCTTGGAGTACTGAAGTCTAGATGGAAAGGTCTGGTCTCCGGTACTGACTCCCCCCTCTCTCAATGACTCTCTCCATTTAGAAGCTTGAACAAATAATCATATGGTTATAATGATATAACCATAAAATAAGGTTTCTGTGGGAAATGCTCCTCGGTAACCAGCAACGGATCGTTGTCTTATTCAAGAAGATAAGCAATGCTTTTAATTGCTTCTAGCGACCGAAAGAAGTGAAACGTGGATGAAATTCATTGCCACGGATTACTTGGCCTGTGTGCCATTTTCTTGTACGCTAACTTTTTTCAATTTACGTGACAGGTGAATCTTACACCAAGGAGGAATCGAAGATGGAGGTGGACGCACCCAGCCCGAAAGTGGCTGCTGGGAAAGATCAGGTAAAGGAAGATACGTCAGCCGAAACAGAGCCTATGGAGATTCAAAAACAACAAGACGAAATGTCTTTGGAAGAAAAGGACAAGAGCGGGGATACTGACGACAAAGACGATAACATTGTTGACTCCGATAAAAGTATGGGAGAAAACAATTCTAACTGTGCACAAAATGACGAGAAAAATGTTGATTCTGATCTTAAGAAAGGTGATAATACGGAACAAGTCGATAAGACTGAAACAGAATCGGAAGAGTCCAAAGCTGATGGTGAGAAGGATTCATCCAACAAAATGGGCGATTGCAAACTGTCAGAATCAACCCAAGATACGGAAACGTCAGCCGAAGAAAAGGAGTCTGATGACGGGACAAAGAATCCACCAGAGACAGCTAAAGAGGGCGAGAAGAAATTAGAAAAAACTGAAACGGATGATGATGGCGATAAACCTTCAGGTGAAGCAGACTTGGTCAAAGACGACGTGAAAACTAACGGTGTTGTTGAATCAGACCACAAAACAACAGAAGATGCCTCAGAAAAGTCAGATGGTGCCGTGAAAACAGAACAAACTGCTGTGAAACCAGAAGCAGCAGCAGCGACACAGAAGCAGGATAAGTCCACTGAAAAATCTGCTGCGTCTGGCAAGGCCGGAGGCGCGCTTGGTGATCAGCGTCGCTTCATGTTCAATATTGCAGATGGAGGATTTACTGAGCTGCATACTCTGTGGGAGGTGGAGGAGAAGAGGAAGTGTGATGACATCTGGTGGAGATGCCATGATTACTGGCTACTGGCTGGCGTTGTTACGTATCCTACTTAATTCTCGTGTTAACCTTTTCCTTTAGAAAACAAACATTTCTATTTCGCTTTCTTCTCATTTGAACGCTCTTAAGTCGACAAATTTCAAATTGATGATTTATTACATGAAAGAGTCCTTTTTTTTCTATTTGTTGAGATGAGCTGATTATAGTAAACGAAGACGCACTTTAAATGCTACTTTTGTTTTTAGCATGCTTGATTGGGTTCTTTTCTTAGCCTCGCTGTTGGTACAGTTGTAGGCATAACAATGATGTTTCGGCACTTTTACGCGAAATCGAAGAAGTCACTACATAAACACTACAAGTCTCTTCAACTTTTCCCCGCATCAGCCTCGCATTCATGCTCAGGGCCTACTTGTTCCAGGACCGTCGGGGAATACGAATGTTATCCATTGAGGCCAGGTCTGATGAGTTGTAAATCATAATCGAGATTAGGCTGGTCAGCCTCTATGTTGCCACTATCCTCACCATTTCTAAATAATCGAAAGAAGTTTGTATGCAATTACAATTACGTTTTAAACGTTTAGATCCGTTAATTTGTTTCTTGTCCTTTGATAATTACTTGCTTCAAGCTTCAGGTAACGTTTACCTTGACTGAATTGCTGCATCTAGACATGGATATGGTCGATGGCAGGACATTGCAAATGATCGCAAGTTTTCAGTGATAAACGAGCCTTTTAAGAACGGTAAGTTTTTTACAAAGCTTATATCTTATTTCTCTAGCATAGCAAATTACATAGTTAAAAAAAAAACATAGAAAAGCCTTTTTAAAAGAAATGCTTGTGGTTTTAGTTTCACAAGCGCTGTTACGATGTAGAAGATTCCATTGCAACTACTTGTTCTTGTAACACAGGGCACGAAACTCTTCTTCATTGTCCGACTAACTCCAGCAGACTTCTATAATTCATGTTGCTGAAAAATGTATTTACGACTAACATTTGACCTTGTTTGTGTTTCAGTCACTTTGGAATACAAGAACCGGTTTATTGCCCGCCGCTTTAAGGTAACTCGTGGAAATGTATATTTCTGGTGTCTTTATCATCTTTAAAGATCATGATTTTGTCGTTTTAGTCCGCAAGTCATACACCGTGTTCTCTCGCAGTACCTTGTTAGCTATTGTAATGGCTATGTTGCTTCGTGGATCCAGTGTAAAACTGAACTTCACCTTGGCAGAACATTTATGAAACATGACTTGCATTTCTACTATCATGCCGTAAAACCACGACTTGTTCTAGAGATTTCGCGATGCAGAGAGAATCGCCTAACCATCAACTTCTGTTTGGTGTTTAGTTGTTAGAACAGGCTCTAGTGATCGAAGAACAGTTACGGAGAGCAGAATCCATGAAGCTCAGACAAGATGCTAACCATCCAGCCATGGCTCTCAATGCACGGTAAGCGACAGGGCAAGAACCTATATGATTTTATGATTTCTCAGGTTAGAGCCAGAAGCAACACGCGGAAAGGTTAGGAATTCTGACTCGCGCGCGTGTGTTACTCGCGTTCCCGCCGAGCGCCCACTTCACAGATTAGGATTGACTTTTGTGTCAAGGGATTAAAAAAAGAAGAGGTTCGGGGCGTAAGTCTGTATTCGAATTTAAATTGAACCGGAATGAGTGGAGCAAATAGATCGTTAACTTTTTTTTTTTTTTCTGGTAGCTATGAGTTTGTCCTCTGTGCATCCTACAAGAATAGTTATTCCCATCCTCGCAGAGTTTTGCCCTATTTTTATACTGGGTATTGTTAATGCTTTTTCTTTTTCTCATCGCGTCTCTTCATGCGGTTGCATTGATTCCAGGAAGAATGAGATAATGACTAATGTTTGGATTCTTTTACAGGTTTGCGGAGTTGGAATGTCTGGCAGAGAGTCATCAACATTTATCCAAAGAATCTTTAGCAGGAAACAAGCCGGCTAATGCTGTACTACACAAAGGTCAGTGAACCTACTACGAAGAGCTTTTTGTCCTGTTACGGTTTGCGTATAGTGTAGGTTGGAGCTGACTCTTAGTACATTTTTACAACGCAAACGGTACTGTAGTAAATACTTCTTGAAGTTGTATGATTTATGGTCGACTTAAGAGTAAGTGGCGCGTCTTTTTAGGTTAGAACTCTAACTTAAAGGTAATTTCTGCGCTGGCCAATTTATCCATAGAATTAACGTAATTACCCGAATAAGAAGGAAAAGTTTCGTGGAATTCTGAAAGCTGCAACTCTGGAAAGAATAGACTTGGAGCTAGCCATGAACGCCAAGAGGTTTGAAGAAGGAGTGGATGGGAGCCAATGGGAATTGGGACAAAAAGTTTAGGAAGATATAAAGGTTATCTGTGAAAACAATTGCTTTCAGTTCGGAATACGCCAATGCATAACTGCTTCAAATAAATAACCGTATAGCTATAGCAAACTCAAAAGAAGTATTTAAGTTCGTTTGTCGGTCATTCACAAATTTGCGAGGATCTTCAAGGGATGGGTTTTAGAAATAAAAAAACATAGCCATGCACTGCTTTTTTATAGACCAAATTTTGAACTCTCTTTGCAGTGCTTAACCAACTAGAAGAATTGCTCTCCGATATGAAGTCGGATGTCAATCGGCTACCGTCGGCTCTAGTCCGAATGCCACCCGTCACAGCTCGACTAAACATGTCCGAGAGAGGAATCCTCAGCCGCCTTACGAAACGTGAAGGGCCACCACCCAATGTCACGGTATCTGGAAATTTAATGCAGCCTGCCCCCATCCCCACCTCAGCAGCCTCAATTCCTATCCAACCCAAGGTGCAGCCGCTGGTACTCGCTGGAGGAACTGTCATACCTCCTGCTCCAGGTGTTAAGGGAAGACCTCCTTTCCGGTACGGTGTACCACCATTGTTTTATCCATCCGCCATGTCAGGTAGCAGTGCCACCCTAACAGTTCGTCCTCCTCCCCCCACCACCCTGCTGCTTCCTGTCCCCACAACAACGGTGAAGTCCGGATTGGTGCAGTCCGGATTGGTGCCGTCAGTGCCAAAACCCAGTTCTCCCTTGATAAGTCATCGCGTGAACTCTCCTACACCAACGCAGTATGTAACTGCACTAATCACCAAACCGGCGGGTAGTGCAGCGGTGTCAACAGTGCCTCAGCCAATATCAGGTGCTGTGAGTTCAACTCCTCCTCTGACTCCCGTGATCAACAGTGTTTACAGTCTGAGCACAGGGAAGACAGCAACGGAAGCGCAACGCAGCTCTACTCCTCCCACCTCTACCATCGGGGCTGGTATCGGAAAAATGCTTAGTAAGAAAGCAACTACACTCGTAGAAAACCAAATTACTTCTATTATACGTAGAGAGGCCTCTGCTATGGGTCTGATATCTTCGTCCAATCCCAGCTCCCCCACGGCAACGGAAACACGCGCTTCTCCCGGACCGAAGCAAACTGCTTCCCAGGCTGCAGAGGAATCCGACCAGGAGCAAACAACGAAGGCTGGAGACAAAAGCGACAAAGATCCTGACGTGATTTGTTTGGATTGATATAGAAAACATCGCCTCAGTCGCTACTATAATAGTTCTTATCGATAACGTCAAGAGACAGTTACTGGCTTGCGTTTCCTCATATGATTTATTACTATTTTTAATGTTGTTTTGACTTTAACTTTGTACTTGAATTTCCAATCTCATGCGGCTTGTAGAAATGAAATGGAAAGCTGGCTATAATCCAATAAGGGGTCACATAAATGATGCTGCTGGAAATAAATTCTGCTTTTGATCCCCTTATGAGAAGTGTAGTACGAAATGTTTTGGCCTCGCGCCGGCTGAAGTTTTTGTAATCATGGTGTTTCCTTCGCGTTTTCTTTTCTAGTTGCTTTCCTTTTACGTACAGTTTGTCCGCTCCCCCTTTTGTTCTCTCATAGGTTCCGTTTTACGTCCTGTTTATAAACCGTTTGCATTCTTGGTGTATAACCTCGTATGCAAAAGATGCGAAATTTCAAAATGCAATGGAGTCACGATTCCTTTCAGAGGCCAAACGGGCGATCCATCCCCCTCATACAAACGATGGTCAATAATGGAGCCAAAATCGGGGCATGTTTGAACAATCAGCTCACCAGCGAAAGTCAACAAGAGAAGGGCTGCGGAACAAGCGAACTATTACGTTTTGAACTCGAGTTAATTAAGGTGGCTCGTACCGGTTTTCATCTTTTTGATGGTTTGTAACTTTGAAAGAATACAACAGAAAGACTGACCAAGGCCAGTTGAACACTTTTACGGGGTTGAATTATTTAATCATTGGTTATCCAAAAATAAGTGTGATTTCGTCACTAGCAGTTTCCATGGCAACGCTTTCATAGGCTTATTCAGACGCATTTTTTAGCTTGTGGCTTAAATAATTCGAAAACTAACCCGGTGACCCCCTGATTTTTTTCAGTGATTGCTTTTGGCACTTGAAAAGGAAAATGCACAAAGATTTTTAAAAAATTCTACGGAGCGGAATTTCAGAAAATCTACAAAAAGGGCAATTTTCACACATCGCAAATTTCCTTCCGTAGAATTTTCTAGTTTTTTTTCTGATGATTCCTTTCGACGTTATTATCATATTGGAACAATAAAAAGAAGGGGTCACCGGACTTGTTTTCATGCAATAGCTTTCGTGAGTTTAGCAATTTCCACGCGCGTTCTCGCGCATTTAAAAATCTGGATTCTATAAGATCGACATTTGCTCATGATCTGTTTTAGCTACCGCTGACAATTGCGTGTGCTCGCGCGAGCACCTACGATCTGATGTTTACAGACGTTTACTGCTAAGAAAATCATTAAACAGCCGTCAAAGACAGCCTCCCGNATATATCTTATTAACCAAGCGCGAGGGCCGTACTGGGAGAATATCGGCCCGAGGTCTTGACAGTACGGACCGAGCGCAGCGAGGTCCGTACAAAAAAGACCGAGGGCCGATATTCTTCCAGTACGGTCCCGAGCAAGCTTGGTTAATAAGAGATTTATTATACGACTGAAGTTCAAAGGGACACAAGTGCGGTATCATTCGGGATAGTGCCCGGTCCAATACTGAGAGAATATTGACCGGCAATAGAGCATTTTGATTGGTTGATTTTAGTTATTGGCCCTCTGACTGCCCGAGTCGTGTAATAAAAGTTGTGTATGTAGAGTCCAGTGACATTGGAGTACACCGTTGGTGGGTTAGAGACAAAGCTTCTTAGCACAAAACGGTGTGCAGAGGGAAACCCGCAAAGCTTTCAAAACAAGTTCCATAACTTGTTCTTTAGTTAAAGTAAAACAAAAAAGATGTGCTGACTGACCCTCTGGAGAATCCGGGTATCGATCCCGGTACCTCCCGCATGCTAAGCGGGCGCTCTACCACTTGAGCTAATTCCCCTTTCCATGTTAAACGCTATGAATCTTTAAAAGTTACCAACCCGTCAGAAACAGGGAAAACAACAGGATTTCGAATTTCTGGTGGTAACCGGTAAATTTCTCTGGCAACAAGTAGCACAAGTATTCTAGAGGAAAATAAGTGTTTTCCTGTAAAAAAAAAAAAAGATTCTACTGGGTTTTTAGTGATACTCCATTATGTCATTATTATTACTGTTATTATGACTATAACTGTTTTTCTGTTTTCATGGTCATAAGATGCAGGTGCCTTCTGCCACCTGATGCAATGGCGATGCTTCTTTGCTCTGGCTATTCATTTCACCGAATTCTTTTCCTTGGCATCTCCAAACTTTTTATTTTCACTTGTTCAGAGCGTGACACTAATAACACCAACTAAATACATGTACCAATGAGAAATTTTTAATTTTCTATTCACTATCAATTTTCTATGGCTATATTCAAAGCATTACCTCCACTTACATTTCTCAAGATCAGGGTACTCTCCAAAGGAGCCAAATAAAATTTCTTTCTTGGCAATAACTAATCTAGTTTGAGGTTTTGTTGATAAACATCTACTTACATTTAAATAATGTTTTGAAAGCGCACCGATAATTTGAGCTGTGGGATACGTAGATAAAAGGGTCAACCCCTGAACTTACAAAAGAAGGGCTAAACCTTTGGCTCGGGCAGTCTGGCTTACGAGTCTTAAATGGCGAAGAACTACCGTAATACTGGCAGGCGAAACACGCACCCCGCATACAAGTGTGGCTTTTGTGTAACCTGCGTAGCAGACGTAATTTTGGTTTGTTTTTCAGTCACCTCGCGGCTTCGCAACTTGCTCAGGCGCACCCCAACAAAACCGACAGCTACGCACACTATTTATTACACCTACAAGACCCAAGGAAGCTCGAGTCAACGCTTCAGTAGCGTACATTTTTGTTTTAAGTTTTTCATCAGCTCATATGTAAAACTCTTTTTAGCGTGATTCAACAAAAATCTGTACCTTAATCCTTCAATACCAGTTAAATCAGTTCCTTGAACAATGAAGGAATTTCAATTTTCATTTATTCATTTGTATTCGTTTTCAAGCTTATATTTCATCTGAATTTTACGAAGTAGTTGTACGACGATGTTTACACTCTTCGGAATTTACCAAGTTCATTATCTGGCCATCACCTTTTGTTATATAATTGAACGACGGTTACCGAAGAGCTATTCGATACTTTCGGTACGCTTTCAAAGTCCGTAAACTCATTTGAATTGCAAACAATTTTTAAACGTTACCATTCATATTACACTCTTGCACGTGGAAAGGGCGAAAGAAGTTCCAGAAATTTCATCGTCTTTTGCAGCTTTTCTGGGGCTGCAAAACGCATCACTTCCACGGTATAACTTTGGCTTAAGTGTGGTACGTTCTGCCAAGTCCGGTGTGTGTTTCTTCCTTCGTTCGAAGTAGGGCTGGGCGTAGAACCTCTAAACAAAACATTCCTGTTGTTATTACCAGTCGCGTTAATGTACAAAGAGGAAATAGAAAGCCTAATGGTCAGGTTCGCGTGTTGATTCTGGCTACAAGACATGCTAGTCAGGGTCAACAATCGGATAAAAGGAACGCTATTCCTAAATTTCTGTTTATTAATATCTGCAGCCTTCTTAAGACTAAAAATCGCATCAGATCCTCGATGGCTCTTGAAATGGATATGCATACAAATGATATTGACATATGCGTGGTTTCTGAAACTCATTTAAGACTCGATGTTCCTGATGCAGTTATTGCCATGTCTAATTATGCTCTATACCGTCGGGACAGGAACTGGAGTGGAAGGGATATTCGTAAAAATGGAGGAATTGCCATCTTAATCAGAAATAATATCACCCTTCTCGATGTATATAGATCGGAGGAGTTTGAACTAATTGCGATTACTACTTCCCTGCCCAAGGGACAACATATGGTAATTTGTGGGGTTTATCACCCACCGCTGCATAATTATCACGAACTGAATCTGATGAGCTGTATAATTGACTTGGCGGACTCTTTCTTGGAGAGTTTTCCGGACGGTTTGTTCGTCTGTAGAGGAGATCTTAATCAGATGGACATAACCCGTTTTGAATCGCTCTCGGGCTGGCGTCCTTTGGTCGGTTTTCCTACAAGAGGAGAATCGTGCCTGGATAACTGTTTCACCAATAATCCAGACCGTCTCCTGCAGCTATTAATTAGTTAATTTGGTTGGGCAGAGGACGTTAAAGAACCCACTCATGAGATTACTGTGATGTG